GTGGAAGAGACATAAAGTGAGCAAAAAACTTCCTAAATGCATTTAGAACTACAAATTAAATTTCTTTTAGCAATTATTGTTTTTTAATGTCACAATTCAAACCCTGCTCCTTTATCCGGGCTTCGAGCGGCAAAAGTGATCCGAAATAGGCACTCTGGTGGAGTTACTTTGTGTGTGTGTTTATAAGTAGTTTTAAACCTTGTGATCCACAAAACAGCATAACAGTAAAAGAAGAACTGACTGGTTACAGACAGTGCGGAAGCAGCGGCTTCGCTCATGCGCGATTCATTTGCAGTTTGGACGCATAGGTGTGAACATCTCCTGCAGCTGGGGGAGGACTATCCTCCGCCCGTGAGTGCTTTAGCAGGTGAGGTGCCCACGGCAGCACCGCTGCTTGTTGAGTGTAAGAGCAACACGCTCTTTCACGTCAAAAGTCGTCAAAAATAAGTCTCCAATAACAGCAGAAAAAGTCGCCAGATTTGTCGCTAGTCGCTTTTGAGAAAAAAAGTCGCTAAGGGGCCTGAAAACTCGCTAAATATAGCGACAAAATCGCTAAGTTGGCAACACTGCTTCTGATTGGCCAACATTTCTGCACGGTTAGGAATATATTGCCACCTGTTGCTTTGGCATGTTCATAGCAGTGTTTTCCTTAATTTCTGCCTTTACGTGTGGACGGGATTATTTTTTAAAACGAGAACGGAAAATCGCCGTTTTCAAAAATACCCGTGTAAGCATGGACGTAGCTTGTGAACGTCTGGGCGATGGCATTTGACCACATTTATGTACAATTAAATTTTAAGAATGACTGTGGAAGTCAGTGTAGAGACAGTTTGTGATGTGGGGATGTTGGTGAGGCCTCTTTCATAGTGAGCCTGTCAGTGTAGGGTTATTGAAAGGTTAATTTAAGGCAGACTTCTGTATCATTTTTTATAATTATTTTCTACACGGTTGCATCAAAGTATTTTTAATTTGCCTGTTCATAGTTTTTCCTTTTAGTTTAATCTAGCTTTTAGGTTTAGTACGCCTAGTTAATGTTAATATGAAACAAGTTTACTATATCATCATATTCACTCTGAGCTAAGAGTAAAACATGGGCCTTTAAGTGTTTCTTACTAACAATGTAATAAAGCAGGACTCATTTTGTGCCACATGCAGTGCAATTTTACCTGGACCAGCAAAGCAATTCCCTCATAATACTGCCAGTGTTATAGTCACAAAGTTTACATTGTCTTGATGCATGTTCAGTCATCCAGGTATGGAAACCCCCTCTAAATTATTCTGTTTATCTGGATGGGAGAAAAGTTTTGTTGCTCAGCCAAGTGACTTCTTCAGTCTCAGCTGACTGCAGGTTTCTCCAACTTTATAAACAATACAAATTCAACAGTTGCTGTGAGTGCCACTTATGTTACTCTGTTTCCTCTGCTTTCCAACCCCAAAACACACTGCAGCAAAATCTGGTCCAAGGATCTGGCCTCTAATATGGTAATATAGCGTATGCTGTTGCAGTAAGTGCCAGGAGGATTGCAGTGATTTATACATCAGGGAAACCAAACGACCTCTGGCTAAGAAGATGGCACAACACAGAAGAGCTAACTCGTCAGGCCAGGATTCCGCAGTCCATTTACACCTACAGGCCAGTGGACAGTCTTCCAACGATGAGGATGGACACATGAAAAGGGAAAGACCATCTCTGAATCGAGGAGGGGCCTAAGGGTACATCTTTCACCATCTTACAGTACTGTGATTGCAGCCATTGAATACCAGTCACTCTCTGTGAATGGTACTCATGGCCATTGATCAGTGGTGACTAATCAATTTGCATTTTAATGATCAATAAACTGACCTTCCACCCATTATTAATCAGTGGTGCCGGTTTCAGTCATTATCCAAATGTTCTGTTTATAAAGTTGGGGAAACCTACAGTCGGCTGAGACTGAAGAAGTCCCCTGGATGAGTGACGAAATGTTTCTCCCACTGAAAACGTCACGACCAGATGAACAGACTCAACTTTTTGGGAAGACTTTAGGGAAAAGTCTTAAGGTCTTCCAGTTTCAAGATTAGCCTCTTCCTCATTGTAACTGGACCTGAGGACTGGACAGCAGAGGGGCAAAAGGTGAATGGGGAGGGGTTGGGTGGCAACAGCGGAGATGAGGGGACAGATGTGTCTTTGAAGAAGGCAGAGGGGCAGCCTTGTAGGTTCTTGAGGGCTTCATTGCTGTAGACAACATTCAGCCACTCTGAATGAAGACTTCTGATCAAAGTACAAGCCACCAGAGGGTTGGCCATTGCGCCTGCTGGATCTTTGTAAAGATCTGTGTGCAGGTCAAATACTTTGGCATAAAAACTGTGTGAAGATACAGTATTGTTAAACAGGGTCTTCAGACTGAAAATAATAAAAACTCAATAATAAAAATAGCATTTTTATGCACAAAACCTTATTTTCACCAGACGAAAGGAACAATATGAAAAAAAGATACAAATTCTGGGTATAAAGTATTAAATTAACATCTGCCAAAGTCCTCCATGGGCAAAGTATCAATTAGAATATTAGACTGATTTAAGGAAACCCGTATCTCATATAAATACCATAAATATTGAGCTTATTCCAGCTCAAACACTGCAAAAATCCACCACAATCTGTCACGGCCAAGGCCGAACCCGACAACCAGACTCAAATGCAGATCATACACAGAGGCACGGACGAGCGTAATAAACAGAACTTTATTTCCTAGGGCCTGACTACGGAAGAGGATTAGGGCCACTGGGGGAAAAAATAATAATAAAAAAAAAAATTCTGAGATTAAAGTCAGAATTCTTTTTTTGTTTTTCTCTCCTCTCCAGTGGCCCTAATCCTCTTCCATACCTGACAAATACTGTGAGCTATGAGGAATAACATGGGACTTCAATTACGGTGGTAAACAGGAGTGACGCTAAACTATGAGAAACACTAGATTTACGAAAGCACCAGAGAATTGTGACGAGGGGATATGTACAGGCGCAAGGGGCAGGAAACATGACCTGGAGGCTCTGAACACTAGAAAGAGAGGAGACAAGTTTTAGTGACCGAGTCTGTAAATCCTGGTGAGTGTGAACCATAAAGAAACATTCTTACTTTGGCAGGTGGAGGAATGGCAAGGAAGGGGTGAGAGGTCCAAGTGAGCAGTCTTTGGTCTACAGGAGATGGTAGTCTGATTGAGTACTGTGACAGGAGGGCAGGCAGGCGAGTGAATCCGAGAGGTGCTGTGACGCAAAGAGCTGCCAAGCACAAACCAGCTCCAGGATGAAAGTGTGTATTGCCAGGAGATGGAGGTGGCAGACAACAGGATAGCTGATGGAAGAAAAAGCACAGGTTGAAGATAATCCTCTTGCAAACAAAATCTCTTTCAGTGAACCACTATGGTGACCCGCACTAACTGTGATTAGCTGAAGGCTTAGCGAAGAGGAGTGGTGATCGCTGGTCTTAAGTATTGGCAGCTCAATTGCCAGCAGGTGTGGAGACATGCAGGAAAGCAGCGAATCCACCCAGGGGTGGAACTGTGACTCAGTGGAAAAACCCCAGCACTCACCCAGACCACGACACAATCAAGCCAAAGTTTGATTTCTCATGACCAAAAGATTCCTTCACAAAATTAGAAACACTTCCACAGAAGAACTATTGAGTCATTTGTATAAATTAGCGGGAAGTGACTTAGTATGTTTTGTATCAGTGATCCTGCATCCAACATAGTGAAATAAAGCCACAAAAACCTTAAATCTATTTTTTCTGCATTTTTTTAATGATATCATACATATAAGGGTACGGGCCTCTCCATTGACTTTAATTGCGTCCCTCAGTTTTGCTGAACAGTACCGCTTCTGCATTTGGAGCAGGCTCTCAGCTGATCTGAGATAAACCTTCGCCCTCTGTTCATCATATCATACATACAGCCTGGATTCATTCAGAACAATTAATTTGCGCTCATGTGCTCACCAATATCATCAGATTTATGCGGTTGTCAAGGATGCTGTTTCTGATTAAATGAGTTCAGTCTGAGCAAATAATGCGATATATTTTTGCGATATATATATATATATATGTATATATATATATATATATATATATATATTTGCAATATTTTGTTACATTTTACTGTGAAGTCAGTATTTTAAAATCTGAAAATAAAAGAGAAATCATCTGCTCCTAAAAACAGTTTAAAAACCGTGTTTGGAATCACAGCGACATCTGCAGGACAAAGGCAGTGAGCCTGAATGAGCTGTGTGAGATTGTACAAATGTGTAACGACGCACTATGTCTATACACTTGCAGTAAAGGCAAACTCACAAAGCTACACTGGTTTCGATTCATCTTTGCAATATATGCATTCAAAAGTTCTGCATCCAGATACTCCTGCAAGTATTTCTTTTTAATACTGACACCATACAATTTTAAATATTTGCTATAAAGTCCAACTAACTCACAGAGAGCCAAAAAGCATTTAGAGTTACCTTGAATGCAACTCAGTCCCTGTTAATCATAAATCCTCACTGAAAGAATGAGAGGATGTGTCCCTTCAAACGTCATTAAAGTTACGTTAAATTCACTCCCACAATTGAGTAATCTTGTCTGATGGTTCTGGCACAGATTTTTAGTCTCTGCTGGTTTATGTTTAACAGCCTTAGATCTCTAAAACATTTGGGGTCATGATTGTTTTCACAGACAGTCCGAGAGATTTAGCCAGTTCATTTTTTGAATCTTATTTACATATTAAATTACTAATGTCAAAATTATCAATAAATCCTTTGCTCAAAAGGTCATTTTCACTAATTTCAGATCGGGAACATTTTCCCCAGTGCTGATCAAGACAACTTTTTAAACCAGAGTGCAGTTTAAGATGATTTCATGATAATACTAACCAAGGTGTTAAAAAATGAAACTGAGATGATAAAGACATTTTATCACAATTTTATAGAATTTCCTTCCAGTATAAAGGGACATCTTTTAGTGTTGCACTTATTTTTGTTAACAAAGTGACAAAATTGAAACAAGAATAAAAAAGTATTTTCTGAGATTCGCTCTAAACTCAAACAACTATTGTAGGTTAGGGATGTAATGGAGTTGTCAAACATTTATTAGTGCAAATATCACACTTTTAGTCAAACATGCAATCTGACACAAACACATGACCAACATGACGAGTTTCTTATTAAGATTTTAGACACCTTTTATTGGCCTTTTTAAGGAAAAGAAGTCAAATCAATATTTATGTGCTCAAATTACCACTGGAATTTTTTTTTTTATTCACTGTAAATATTTACCTGATAATTACAGAGCCCCTTTCATGAGTCAGATTCCCTGTTCTGTGCAAAAATATGTGAAGGTAATATGAAGCTTTAGAAACATATTAATCAGACAAATAAAGTGGATATCTTAATTTAGCATTTATATATACATGTATATATGTTGAGCTTTAGAGGAGGAACAGTAATACAAAGAGTTTGTTTTCGCTTCAGTGTAACTTTTTCCACTTACTGTCACTTCATGATATTAGTTTGTTCCACGTGCAGTATAAGAAGGAATCTGTTCATGGCCAGTGTGAATGAAAAAAATAATCACAGTATAAAAAATTGCTGTTCATTAGTGTTCATTCGGGCAACCGACAGACAGAGATGCAGATACTCTGAACAGGTTTTCTGCAGGAGTCTAAACTGTTTTTTTCATAAAGCAGACAAGCTGTCCTGCTGTTTGCTTCTGAAATGGGGCTTGACTGTGTCTAAGCAGCAGAGGAATGTTTTCCCAATGTAGCCCCTCAGACTGTGATCTCTGAAGCCGTAGATGAGTGGGCTAAGAAAGCGTGGGATTAGGATAAAACAGAAATAATTGAAAAAGGCAATGTCTTCCACTGGCCAGTTAGTGTATAACAATGTGAGACTTTCAGTGATGGGGAGCGTGAAAGCCAACATGCACAGAAGCAGCTGAAAGCCGTGCAGCAGCACAGTGTGCTTGGCTTTATTCACAGATACTCTGTCCTGTCTCAGCTTCCTGGTTTCCAGCAGGATTCTCACATATGTGAAGAAGATGACAACAGCCACAACTGCAAAGAACATCACACTCACAGCAGTTCTGAATAATGCTTGGATTGGAGATGAGTTGATAAGTATATTTTTGCAGAGTACAGGTGTAGAGAGGACATCTACAGCAGGACGCTGTTTTCTGATGGAGTACTCAATGATGTGGAACATGCAACTTGTAAGCCACAGACAAAGATTAATGATCCAGATACGGCCTGAGCGCCAGGTGGCCGGGCGCTGCAGGGGATAGAAGATGGCAACATAACGCTCCAGGGACATTGCAGCCAGGATTAAAGGTGTGTTCTGATAAGTAACAGTGGATATGAACAGCAGAGGAACACAATAGAAAATGGGAAATTTTACCTGACCCATTACAAGTAGGAAAAGCAGCACAGAGGACAGAAGCTGCAGGGTGTCATTGATCAACATGTGGGCAAACAGGATGTAACGTGAAGTGTTTAGGAACTGCCTGTGAGATGCAAACACATGCAGCATGACAACAATGCAGAAGAGGAAGGTGCAGAAGAAGGGGATAACTGCACATACTTTGATGATAACAGACAGGCTTTTCTGGGAAGTTGCATTAAAAGGAAGTTCAGTCAGATTCTGCATTCTGCAGCTTTAAGTTGCAGCACACCTGTTAAAAAAAAGCACAACTTAAACTTCCATATACAGAAGATAAAATAAAACATAATGCATACTATCATTTACATTTACAACAGAAATTAGCTGCCTCATGTTAATAAAATAATCAGTAAAGTCAAATCACCCTGTAATACTAACCATTTACCCATTAAAATGAGACAGTGCCTCGCTCACCTAATAACAATGACTTTGTCTGTTAGAAGAGCTCAGATTTCTCTTCTTCTCAGCACACAACATGTTTTCAGCAATCAAAGTGTCAAAGATGGTCTTCTCTTGTCTGATCTGTTTGGCATCGGTTATCTTATGTTTGACTCAGTGCTGATTCCCCAGAGATAAATTAATTTCATGCTATCGTCATTAAGCATCATGGTTCTCATTAACTACAGATTACTGTAGGGGAAAAGGATAAAGCACCTTTTATTTCAGGATCCATGAAAGGAAGTTAAACAGACAAGTGATTCTATATTGTAAGGCAGGGGTGTCAAACGCCAGGCCTCGAGGGCTGGTGTCCTGCAGGTTTTAGATCTCACCCTGGGTCAACACACCTGAATCAAATGATTAGATCAATACCAGGTCTTTGGAGAATTTCAGGACATTTCGAGGAGGAAATTTAGCCATTTGAATCAGCTGTGTTAGATCAAGGACACATCTAAAACCTGCAGGACACCGGCCCTCAGGGCCTGGAGTCCAACACCTGTGTTGTAAGGCATCAAAAGCAGCAGTTGATACTGACTAAATGTTATCAATTTGTATTTTTACTTTTTTTCCTTAAATTCACTTTAATTTCACTGCTCATATTGACAACAAAGATCATTAAAATTTCACAATTACTGGTGCTAAAATATTAGCGTACATTAAAAAAGTAAATGTTCTTTTTTTTTAAACAGTACAAAACACAAATACCCTGAATATAAACTATATTATATTTAGTGGAGGGGTATGTGAGCCAGTGAGCTTTCCTGAGCAGCAAAATACAATAGCAAAAGTAAAAATGTATTAAGTAAAACCACAATAAATGTAGATCATTATCATCTGAGCTTTGCAGTATTTTTTGGTGTAGCAATGTCTTAGTAGGATGAGTTTTTTTACCTAATAAATTTTGCTAACAAAATTATATACAGTTAGACCTTAATCTGGGTGTGACTAATGAGGGTGTGGCTGCATTTGTTTACAGTACAAAAAAGACATAACTTCTATAGATTTTTCTAAATTGACTAAAAGGCACAGTTCTTACTCCGATTATAAAATAAATGTAGCTACCTTGACCTCACCTAGTGACCCAAAATGTGGTTTTGAAGCACTGATATATCATGCCTTCTAGCACAGATTGTATGAAAAAGATGGCTGTAGCTGTTGTGGTCCAATCCAGTGGTTTTAGATAATAGGAAGTCTCAGCATTAGCTTTTCAGTAGCTGCTATATAAAGACAGAAGAAATTATGCTGGGGTGTCAAGCCTGGCTTGCAAGCACAGGAACAAATGTCTACTAATAATGGTTAAGTAACAAACAGTATGCTGTCATCATTATTTTTTTACTGGAAAGTTTCATTTTAGCAACATGCTTTTGGGACTAGCATTAAGATCATCAGGCCTCAGTCCTACGCTATTTCCTTTAAATGTCCTCCTGAAAAGACTAGGGATGGGTATCGTTTAGGTTTTATCCGATACCGGTGCCAAACCGGTACTTTTGAAACGGTGCAGGTGTTTAAACAGTGCTCAAACCGCTGCTTAAAGAATGGAGAACACAAACTTTGTCCAAAAACCTCTCATGTTTAGCTGTTTTTTTGTAAAAAGATAACAATGTTAGCCTTTTCTGCAGCTATGGGGCATATATGGCATCACTCTTGGCTGGAAGCAGTGCTTAAACAATGGAAAAAACACAAACTTTGTCCAAAAACCTCTCATGTTTAGCTGTTTCCCACTTTTTCTTTGGTCATTTTTGGCCAGGGTGAAGGGAGTATCTGCCATCAAACAAGAGGACAGCCGCATGTAACTACGATGGTGTTTGCTAGTTCACCTTACATGCATTAATGTAATAACGTGGTGAGCCTACTCAACGTAAATTACACACGAACAACATTAAGCTACTCACGCAGAGAAGAACGGCTGCTGCTGCCATCATCATCCGTCATCATTTCTGCTACACTGGCAGGGCTAGGGGCCAGGACTCTCCTCTTCGGGTTCTTGGGGGATGTTGCTAACTCCGGGTCAGATAACAGGCACCACACCCGCAGTAGATGCGCTCGGTGTGAGGTCTCGCAGCAAGCTATCAAATACGGTGCATTTCTTGGCTTTTAAAAAAACGCTATGCGTCGTCAGGTGTTTCATCAGATTCGAGGTGTTACCTCCTTTGCACAGTATCAGCTTAAAGCACTTGTTGCAGGCTGCTGAGTTTGCATCTTTTGCTGTGAAGTACAGCCAGACTTTTGACCACTTCGCCTTGGGCATTTTTAATCTGTAGCTTTGCTCTAAAAGAATGTACGTACCTGGGCCTGCCTACTATCCTTGGAAAGGTAAAATGATTGGCTAGAATCCAAAGTATGACATCTCAGTAAAAAAAAGCACCGAAATAAAGCACCAAAATGTGCGCTGCTTTTCAGTCTGGTTACTATCCGGTGCATACTGGTACCCATCCCTAGAAAAGACTGTAGGGTCAAAGAATTTAATGTATATGTTAACCTTCATAATCAAGATATATAAAATATTTAAACCAACAGCCAAGAATTAAAAAACACCTAAATGATCATAAACCAGAACAGTAATTACCTTCCTAAGCTCAGTGTTTTTCCATCCCACAGGCTTAAAAGTTTGCTGAACTTGGCTCCATGTTGGAAGCCTCTTATGCAATGAAGGTTCATGTGTACCAAAAGCTGTACTTTGAGGGCACGGAAAAAGGCTCAAACACAGTAGAAAAGCCACAAATGCTGATACTGATGAAAATGCAGATGTAGGTCCAAAATGCACACCACTTTGTTCTTAAAATTTCCACATTTTGTAAACCATCCACTATGACAGATTGGACATTTGGTGGGCCAGTTCTGGTTATATGTTGGACATAATTGTTAGAGAAAATGCAAGAAAATGTAGTACAAGAATCTAATGCTTTAAGATGTTTTTTTATATTTAAAAAAACATTTGATAAAATGTATAGTTAGCTGCAAGTTAAAAATAATTTGCTTGATTATCAATAAAATAAAATGTTTTAGAGTTTGAACCCCTTCAGTCAGTATTTTTAACAAAGTGGAAAATGGAAAATGGTTGGTGGGCTAGATGGCACACTATTGCTCACATTTGGTCTGGCAGCTCTAAATGCAGTATCACTGGTAAAGAATTTAGACATCTAGCTAAGATTTGGCTTTGGGTTTTTACCAGAATCTAAGTTTACTCTACCTGGTCATACTATCTTAGTTTGTAGTGGATTGTCCAAAACTGTCAATGGCTCAAAGCTACTTAAACAGACCATCAGACTCTTGATGAAGTCCAGGATTATGTTCAGACATGTGATTAAGTGTTCAGTAAGGTTTTAACGATGATAATTGCTGGTATCATATGAGAAGTAATGTTTTTGCCAGATAGGAGGACAAATATGTGGACCTCTGTATATCAGAACTCCAGCAGGAATGGCCTGAATGTTTTGAACACAATGCACCATTTAATTTTTGTTTATCCTCCAACTGTGATTTTCAGGTCTGTACTAGTATATGCTGCTTAGATTTTTGTCCTGGTCTTGTAAAAATGGCAAACACCCTACTGGCACAAAACCTGTGGTATCTTTGACATAGTGCATTATCTTTTTGTGACAATGTTTAACATTCTTGCACAACATCACTCAAGTTGGTAATCAGAGCATAGAGCTGCAGGTGCAACAACAGTATTGTTTTTTAAAAAAAGGTGATGAAATCTATTAAGAGGTTTTTCTTCATTGAGTGTTGAATCTCCAGAGGGCCGTTAGAGGGCATGTCCCAAGTCCCCCGCTTAGTAATTAACAGACTCGCTGATTATTAACACAAAGCTCTCGTCCCATTGAGCAACCCGAAGTTTTCTTTTGTTTGGCAAACCAGTTGACTCTATAGAGAGCAGCTCATGGGGGTTTGTCAGCTGTTTACGTAAGTTCTGCGTCAGTAATGAGGACCCCAGAGGACTGGGCCACAGTTCTGTCCAAAACAAACTTTCTGTTTTTTGAACCCAGCTCAGCAAATAACTTTCATTGCATCAGACAAAGGGCAATTGCCAGACTTTTGGCCAGTTGAGTTTTAGTGGAACATTAAATGGCACACAGAGAGAAACGCAGAGAAGGTGAAGTATGTGTGTAATGCAGATTTGACGAAGAAATGATGCATTATTTTGCTACAGTGTTGGCCCAATTGTATGACCATCCAATGTGCTCATCATGTTGTAAAGTTTTCCTGAGATTCAACACCTAAGTATATAGTTTCTCCAGTCATTTTCCTCAAAGTAGTTTTAAACCTGTTGAAGTCAATTTATTATCTGATCATATCAGCTTATTTAATGCAGTACTTACAAAGAAAAAAAAATTAAAACCGAAGCTTATGACATCAGCAGTTCCTCATTTCCCAACTGAGGCCCTCTTTCTCCACCATAAACAACTGTAGTCTCTTTTTGGATTCCAACACAAACAGTTTATTTTGGAAAAGAAAACATTTGTAATGTTTTGTGCATCATTTTGAAAAACTACCTGCCAAAATTCATCTTGGCATATTTGATATCTTAAGATTTGCATTAGTAATTAAAACTTTCTATTTTAACATTGTTTGTTTTGAACACAGTTTAGATGACTTGTACAAAACAATGGACTCAGTGCTGCACTTATGTCATATTGTTCATACAAGATTAACTTGATCCAAAAGGGGGGGGGGGGGGGGGGAGGCGAGAAAGTGTCTGAAAATAGTGCAGCAGAAATAAACCAAATACAGTGGGGCAAAAAAGTATTTAGTCAGCCACCGATTCTGCAAGTTCCCCCACCTAAAATGATGACAGAGGTCAGTAATTTGCACCAGAGGTACACTTCAACTGTGAGAGACAGAATGTGAAAAAAAAATCCATGAATCCACATGGTAGGATTTGTAAAGAATTTATTCGTAAATCAGGGTGGAAAATAAGTATTTGGTCAATAACAAAAATACAACTCAATACTTTGTAACATAACCTTTGTTGGCAATAACAGAGGTCAAACGTTTACTATAGGTCTTTACCAGGTTTGCACACACAGTAGCTGGTATTTTGGCCCATTCCTCCATGCAGATCTTCTCGAGAGCAGTGATGTTTTGGGGCTGTCGCCGAGCAACACGGACTTTCAACTCCCGCCACAGATTTTCTATGGGGTTGAGGTCTGGAGACTGGCTAGGCCACTCCAGGACTTTCAAATGCTTCTTACGGAGCCACTCCTTTGTTGCCCGGGTGGTGTGTTTTGGATCATTGTCATGTTGGAAGACCCAGCCTCGTTTCATCTTCAAAGTTCTCATTGATGGAAGGAGGTTTTGGCTCAAAATCTCACGATACATGGCCCCATTCATTCTGTCCTTAACACGGATCAGTCGTCCTGTCCCCTTGACAGAAAAACAGCCCCATAGAATGATGTTTCCACCCCCATGCTTCACAGTAGGTATGGTGTTCTTGGGATGCAACTCAGTATTCTTCTTCCTCCAAACACGACGAGTTGAGTTTATACCAAAAAGTTCTACTTTGGTTTCATCTGACCACATGACATTCTCCCAATCCTCTGCTGTATCATCCATGTGCTCTCTGGCAAACTTCAGACGGGCCTGGACATGCACTGGCTTCAGCAGCGGAACACGTCTGGCACTGCGGGATTTGATTCCCTGCCGTTGTAGTGTGTTACTGATGGTGACCTTTGTTACTTTGGTCCCATCTCTCTGCAGGTCATTCACCAGGTCCCCCCGTGTGGTTCTGGGATCTTTGCTCACCGTTCTCATGATCATTTTGACCCCACGGGATGAGATCTTGCGTGGAGCCCCAGATCGTGGGAGATTATCAGTGGTCTTGTATGTCTTCCATTTTCTGATGATTGCTCCCACAGTTGATTTTTTCACACCAAGCTGCTTGCCTATTGTAGATTCACTCTTCCCAGTCTGGTGCAGGTCTACAATACTTTTCCTGGTGTCCTTCGAAAGCTCTTTGGTCTTGGCCATGGCGGAGTTTGGAGTCTGACTGTTTGAGGCTGTGGACAGGTGTCTTTTATACAGATGATGAGTTCAAACAGGTGCCATTCATACAGGTAACGAGTGGGGGACAGAAAAGCTTCTTACAGAAGACGTTACAGGTCTGTGAGAGCCAGAGATTTTCCTTGTTTGAGGTGACCAAATACTTATTTTCCACCCTAATTTACGAATAAATTCTTTACAAATCCTACCATGTGAATTCATGGATTTTTTTTTCACATTCTGTCTCTCACAGTTGAAGTGTACCTCTGGTGCAAATTACTGACCTCTGTCATCATTTTAAGTGGGGGAACTTGCACAATCGGTGGCTGACTAAATACTTTTTTGCCCCACTGTATCTGTTTCAGTTATGTTCTGTATTTTTTTAATCGTTGATGTTTTTGCATACTTTTCACATTCTTAGTGAACTTCAATATTGCTCTCTTCCCTATTTCAGTCCATTTGTCAACCGTTCGACTGATGTATAGGCCATTTACACTCAGTGACATGCAGTTAGTGAAAACCCCTCTCCCTATGAGTCTGTATGGAAATCTGTATGCAAAGTGATAGATTTGCAGTACCATAAATTACACACAACATAGTGATTTTCACAGTGGTAGTTGATGAAGAAATGCTGACGTTAGGCACAGACAGCAAATGCACTACATATGCACCACAGTCTACCCGAATTGTGACAAATCTACCTCTTCAAGGAGTATAGTGTGCCATGACCAGATGTGGTACACAACTTACAGTCACTTCCTTCTATTTTGGAAACTTTCCCTTATGCATCTTTTGTTTTTTTCTTGCTACCTTTGTCTTGCTTTACCTGTAATTCCCTAATTATTTTCACTCAATCCTTGGTCTCTCCTGTCTCATTTCCTCACCAATGTGAGCATGCACAACAGCCCTACTTCCAATCTTTGGCTCTTGTGTTAACCTGGGGTGGTTTCATTTGAAGTTACTAGCTTCAATAAGCCTGTTCAAAACACCTATATTACCCACAATGCAACTCCCAGTAGTTTGTTGTTCTAGGTAGTGGCTACTGACTTTCGTTGTAGTTATGCAACATTACAAAAAATGATAATGAAAAATGAAAAACAGAGTTTGGCCCTTGTGCTTTATCAATCTTCTGCTCTGCCCTAACCCTAATTGTACATTATGAAATAAAAGCCCCTTTTCAGGTGTGGGAAATTGTATGAGTAAAAATAGTTGTTTTGCTTTTTTTTTTCAAATTAAAATGTAATGAAAGTTGGTAAACTTTTTGCCATTAACTACATCTAGCCATACATATAAACCCTAAGCAGTGATAGACATAGTAAAAGATAGAAAGTCCACAACCAGCACAAATGGTCTCTAACCTGCACGTATCTACAGGGTTTTAGAGATAACACCAAATACGCACATTTGCAGGGACAGTCAACAGATCAATGCCTTTCGCGTAATTGAGTGGTGCTGAGTCACTATAAATACTGACAAGACATGATAGTTTTTATTCACAGAGCAGATTCAAACCTCTCTAGCAGCAAGTAAGACTTTTACTAAGGAAAGGCAACAGTGAGAAAAGTGCAAGGTTTAAACTGAACAGAAAAACCTCCAGCCAGGAACTTATTTTACAGATTAGATAAATAGACTCTGTAAGTGCAGCAGATCAAATTAATCTGCAAAATGCAAGCTGTTCGTCAGTGTTCAGTGTGTGCGAGCCGTGCCGCTACAGGACTTGTGCGGAATCAGATAGATATTTCAGTGCTGCGGACCAGCAAGAGCGTGCTGAGGAGAGGAGCAGCCTGCATTCGTTTCCTCGGGTAAGTTAAGAATAAATATTCAACAAAATGCTTTGCAAAGTTAAAGCCGGACTTTGATCTTTGGTACTAATTGATATTTACCACAAGTTGGTCCAAATCAGATCATAGGACAATAACTCACAGCATTTCAAAATGAAATATCATTAATTTGTTTGCTGGTCCTACTCCTAACGTTCTGCACTGTTTCTACAGCAGCTCTGAGAGCAGGATACCTGGAAACCAGAAGTTTGGGGAACCGATAAAGCCTTCACACATGAGCATAGCATCTTTAAGCGTTGCCCGTGGGTTTTGCACTGTCCGTTTTACACAGGTGGGTGAGTCTCCAAAAATATCATAGAAGTATGAATTAGTACAGTCACCTACAACTAGCACTAATGTTGACTCTTCAGGAAAATTTCTTCTTCTTATAGATAATATACATATGGAGAAATTAAAGAAAAGACTAAAAAACACTGATTTGTTTGCAGCAAGTGGAAAACCTCTCACATGACTCTCTGATCAGAAGAGCTGCCTCAGTGATTACAGACAGCTCATGTACTTTCCTCTCCCAGACCACCTTGGCTTACTTTGATGCCCTTGCAGACTATTCAAAGGTAGGTTTTTACAGTGTGTAAGACATGGTTTGTAAAATTTCATATCCCAAAAGAATTAAAAAAGCTTCTTTTAAATTCAACACAAATATGAGAGGACAAAAACATCTGGACACATCTATTCAGTAATATACTGCAGCAGTTTTCAGCCTAATATTAAATATGGTGACAATAAACTTTGGAATTTAATTTACTTGGACCAATTTACAAAAACTGAGAGACAATGGATAAAATTTGCAAAAAATCTAAAATAAAGTCTTGTATGTCTGATTTGAATTTGCACAAGTAGCCCGAAATACTTTTCAGTGTCCTACAAACTCTTCTGAGTTTGTAATTCAAATGTTGCTGTGTACTGTAACTGACTGCTTTTGTTCCCTCTGTTTACTCACAGGCTGTGCACTCACGCATTGCTTTTCAAAGACAATATTTGGCCTCACTGGGAAAAATTACCCCAGCAGAGGAGGATTCACTCCAGCAAGCGATCAATGGCTGGCGTGCAGAGGTTGGTGTGTGTTGTCCTCTTTGTTCTTAACCTCTTAAGCCCCAAGCCTACCTGATCGCCTGCCTTTTGCCCCCGTATCAGCGGGCGTTGGGGCTTAAGAGGTTAAAACAAATGTTTAATGTACTTTTGTGTTGAGTTTATATTTTGGAAATTAGCTTTTACACCACAAAATTATTGAGTTTGTCACTTCTCTCTGTCTTAACAGGCTAGTGAAAGACTAGTCGAATGCAAACGTTATGAATCAGCTTGGATCAATGCCATCAGCCTGTGTAAAATGGCAGCTGAGGCAGCGTGCACTTCAGGTGAGAAGAATATTTTCCTGAATTATGGATGAATGAAGTCATTACAATCAAATTTGAAACATGTGCTGTTACTTTATAAAGTTCTGAGAATAGTTGCATACACCTATATTTTTACTTAGAAATCTGACAAAATGAATCTGTGTTTCCAGGAGCTCACCAGGCATCCATCTCAATGAGGACAAACATCCAGGTGGCCCAGTCGCAGGTGGAAGAAGCACAGAAACTTTCTGCAGAGGCAGATAAGAAGCTGGCTGAGACAAAAGTAGAAGAGATCCAGAGGATGGCAGAATATGCTGCCTTCCTTGAGGATAGTGATGGGCCTGAGGTGCATGAGGCTTATCTACGAGAGGACTAACACAGACATATGGGAAAACAGGAAAACAATGTGCAAGTGCTATTGATTTCAAAGTAATATGAGCTCAACTTTGAAAACTTTTTCTACTCTTTTTGCTGTAATAGCTTTCCTGCTGTGAGATATTTACATGTTTACTTTCACAGAAGAACAAAGCACAAAAGGCTAATTTTGAAAATAAAATTAACAATAAACCACTTGCATATATTTTTATTTAAGACTATTTATTAGGGTTAGTAAATGTAGGAAAACAATGGAATCACTAATATTTTGTTCCAGTGATTCTTATCCATCAGTGGATTACAATATATGTTTTGCTGTAACAAAGATTTTTTTTTAAATAAAATGACTGTGTCCTCCTCCTTGTTTTTAAAGATTTAATTTCAATTCAATTTTATTTATAGAGTGCCTAATCACAACAACATCAAGGCTCTTTATATTGTAAGGTAGGCCCTACAACAGAACATACAGACAAAAACCCAACAATCATATACCCTATTATCCCCTATTATAACTATCACGACAGTGGGACGAAATACTCCCTTTGTGGAAGGGAGCCAGAGATTAATAGTAATTAATGATTCAATGCCGAGACTTCTATTAACAAATGGTGAATGAGAAAGGTGACTGAAAAGGACTACTCAATGCATCATGGGAATCCCCCAGCAGCCTATGCCTCTTGCAGCATAACTAAGGGTGGATGGGGATCACCTGATCCAGCCCAAAATATATGCTTTAGAAAAAAGAAAGGTTTTGAGCCTAATCTTAAAAGTAGAGATAGTGTGTGTCCCCCGAATTCAAATTGGAAGCTGGTTCCACATAAAAGGGGCCTAAAACTGAAGGTTCTGCCTCCAATTTTACTTTTAAATACTCCAGGAACAACAAGTAAAGTGCTCTAATGTAGTCATATAGTAGGGCTGCACGATTTTGCATAAAATGAGAATCACAATTTTTTGGCTTAGAATTGAGATCACGATTCTCTCACGATTTTCTTTTCCAGTATAAATATTTATTGCACTTATTAACTGCACATCAACTTCGTAACAGTTGAGACTGAACATAAAAACAATAAATAAACATAAAAACAACAAATGTCTCACGTTTTGTTGTTGCCGCAAAATGTTGTACTGCTTGAAATTCCGTCTCCACCATTGCTCGACACTGCATGTATAGAGCAGGTAGTGCAACAATAGAAAAATAGTTGCGGGACGGCACTGTGTAGCGTTTGTCTAGGGTGTTGATCATTTTCCTAAATCCCTCGTTTTGCACAGTGTTGATGGGAGCCGTTAGCTTCGAGCTAGTGGGTGTCAGATCTCCAAAAACGTCGGAGCACTTTTGCAAATATGTGATGTCTTGTAAACTGAGCAGGTATCTGACGTTTACACAACTACATTCACGCCTCAAAATATCTTAAAAGTGTATTTTGTGACCCAGAAAGAGTAATATTAAAACTAAGTAGCTGCCGCCATTGTTGGAATTCAACTTTTGCGAGATCTCGCAAAACTTTTGCGAGATCCCGAGTTTGTTTTGCGAGATCTCCCAAAAGTCCGTCTTAATTTTTTTTTCTCCCATGTCCCCTGTGGGGCTCCGTACTAAACCAATGTTGTCTGCAGTTTTGGTTGTAGCATGCAACAAAGTTATACTGATTTTGATGATACTGCTAACAGAACTTCAGCTCTTTGCAAACATCTGCAAGACGGCATGCTAACGCAAAGCTAGCCAAGAACCCCAAGTGATAAGATAAGATAAGACTTTATTGATCTTATGGCGGGAAAATTTATGCTTTACCTCAGCTCAGGTACAGAAGAAAAATACAAAAATACAAATAAATACAAACAAATACAAAATAAGTAAGATAATATTATAAACAGTAGTATACACAGTATGTGATTATGGATATAGAGTTCTGGAAATATGCAAGACGTAAATGATATTAAAGCTGAGTGTATGGACACCACTGCCCAGCAGCCAGAGCCTGATTGCTAACAAGTAACAAAGGCAGTAATGAGCAGTCAGGCTTGCAATCTCCATTTCTACCTGTTCATGTGTCTACAGTAAAATCATTGTGGTGTCTTTAAAGTCTCTTTGAGCTGGTTTTCAACTTCGCTTGCTGCATTACTTTTAGGAAAAGTAACACAAACTCACCAACAAGCATTTATTTCATTTGTTTACTTGAGGTTTGATACAACCTTTAATGAAGCCAAGTGTATTAATGATGAGTTGAACCAAGAACTTTCTAAGTTGGATAAATCGTTACAGCTTGTTACTATTAACTTTCAGTCCCGTTCTTATGTAATTTGGCATACTTCAGCCTTTTCTTGCTGTTTTTCTTCCTTAAGAATGACTTCTTGACAGACACCATTCTATCTAATCCATAAGTGAAATATAACATGTGTTTTGCTTTAATAATATAACAAAATTATTGTGTGTTCCATTGTTTTATGACATCTACATAACAGTAGTAAAAGAAAATGTGTATTTGTTACAATTTATAATTGTTATGATATCGGTTGTGCATCCACATTTGGTGCCCTATCACATAATGCCAAATTGCGATGACATGATTCAGGTGTTTTAATAATGAACATATTAGATCCTGGAAAATTCCATTTAGTTTTATTTATATTGTGATAAATAATCATGAAGTGTTTGATCTTGCTGATTAAATATGTCTATGCCTAAAGACATTAGAGAAATAAATTTGTTCAAAAAGACATTTATTCTTATTTAGCCTCTTATGTTAGACTTGATAAGTGGAAAACACCACACATACTTATTATTTTGTTTATTGTTCCACATATTGTGTAGATATTCTACAGTAAATTCTGTCAAATGAGATGAACTAACTCTTATTATTTACATTTTTTTTTTAAAACCTCAGTGTAAATTGTACCTGTTAAAATATATGAAGTTAATCATTACATGCTTGTCGATATTGTCCAAATTAATGAATGTTTTGATTAAATATGGATGTTACCATTATTAATAGTAGTGATGTACTTTGTCAAATCACATGTTTTTTTGAACAGGATGAAGTAGGCATGAGATTTTTCAAAGAAAGAAAGAAAGTTTCATCCCTGAGGCCATAGATGAGAGGACTCAGGCACCTTGGAACAATACTAAAAAATACATAGTTAAAATATCTGAAATCTCTAAACAAGTTGACGTCAATCTGAAGGACAGCTGTTTCTATGAATGGACTCCACAGCTGAACAAGACAGAGAAACAGCTGGAAAGCATGAAGGATCACTGTTCTCACTCCTTTTTGTGTTGACTTCTTACTCTCTCCTGATGCAGCTTTGGCCACTTTCATTATTTGAACATATGAAAAAACAATAGTGATGCCCATAGTCATGAAATAAAACTGACTTACAGCTGAGCGAGCATGATCCTGCCATCTATAAAGCATAAACATTTCAACAGAGCAAATAGTGTATTGATTGTAGAAGCTAAGTGAAGCAGTAGCAAAGAACATGGAAATGATAACAATGCATGGCCCAGAGCTGAGGCCATGAATAATCAGGATACAGTACATAGTGCTGCGTGTGGAGCACAGCTGTCCATGACGAAGGGGCATACAAATGGCCACATAGCGCTCCAGAGTCATTGCTGTCAGAGTAACTGGTGTGACAATAGAATACACAAGCACAAAAAGACAGATAAATATACACAACCAAACTTGCACTGAACATCTGGTTAAAATAAGCAGGATATCGGTCATGAGTAACAAAAAGCTGTCTGACAGTAAAGTGACAAAAAATAAAATGTAGCGAGCAGATGTGTGAAAACATTCCTTTTTTACAAAGGTCACAATGAGCAACATGTTGATACAAAGAAAGATTATGACCAGGGTGTGCACAATCATGACCCGGACTGTCAATAGTTGGTGCAAGAAAGCACAAATTAGTGAGCTGTTACCTGCCATTGAGAACAAACACGAGTATTTAAATAACTTCTAAGAGTCAATCATTGTCATTATAAATGTAAGATTTACTCTAAAGACTGAAACCAAAAAATCAGTCTAGTGGAGAAACCTTTCGTCCTTTTCCAAACACAAATTTCCTTTTCTGACCGCTGCAGTTCTCTTATAGATGACAGTGGAACATTATTTTAAAGGTTATATGAAACTGAAGTTGTCATATGGTGTCATCATCTTTCCTAAGAGATCATTCCCCTTGATAGCTGTACACTGTTGATAGATGGAGCACTCAGTCAGGAGAGTCTACAACTAATTAAAGTTTTGAAAACTTCGTTGCTTGTTGACAAGTTAATCAATTGGCATGGTTATTGCCAGAAGCAAGACTACATCCCATTATTTTTTTAAGGTATGTCTTATTATGCCCTACAGTGACGTGACCGTGACAAGCAGTAGGCCTATTTTGTGCAATATTCAAACAAGTCAATAGGAAAAATTATTTTCTTCCCTACTTATTGCCTTTAAGGTATTTATTGCACACTGGGCAGCGTAAATGATTTGTTGTTGTTTTTTTAATAAATTGCCAATACGTAGGGAATAGGACTCAGACACCTTGGAACACATCCAATAAATACACTATTCTCTTACATGTTTGTCTGAAATACCCTTATCATGGTGGCGGGGTTTGTGTGTCCCAGGGGATCCCAGGGGTTATGTTGTCTGGGGACTTCTGCCCCCTGGTAGGGTCTCCCATGTCAAACTGATCATCCTCTGTTGTTGACTTGGCTGTCTCTGACCACTACTGTGTGTTTTTTAACATCACCGGTTTTATTCAGCGGGAGACCTCGGTGCGAACTGTGAGGAGGCGCTATCTAACCTCTGAAGTGGCTGCAAATTTTACCAGGGTTTTAGACGAATGCCCCCCTGTGATTTTATCTGCACCCTGCGATTTGATTTTTAATCATTTCAACAGCAAACTGAAGAAAAGCCTTGACTCCGTTGCTCCACTCACCACCAAAAAGATTAACGTAAAACACGTATCACCCTGGAGAAACGAAGAAGTCAAAAAACTCAAAAGAAATTGCAGGGCAGCAGAAAGGAGGTGGAGGAAAAATAAAAATACTATCAACCATCAAATATTTTGCGAGCAACTTAAAATGTACAATAATACATTAAGGAATTCAAGAAATTCGTACTTCGCCAAAATAATCAGTGATAACAAAAATAATCCCAAGGTCCTCTTTTCCACCATAGATCATTTATTTAACCCCAAAGAACCCCCACAGACTCACTCTGTGAGCAGTTTGCAGACCACTTCAGGGGAAAAGTAAGCACCATCAGATCTGATATTTTATCTAATCGCGATATGTTTGTATCTGAGGGCTCGATTGTACCTGAGGAGACACTGGACAGCTTTGTCCTGGTTAATGCTGAGAACCTTCAGAAAGTTTTCTCCACAGTGAGACCCACCACATGTCTTTTAGATCCAATCCCTTCTTCACTCTTTAAAACACTTTATGGATTTTTTGAGGCTGAGCTTTTATACATGATGAATTGCTCTCTTCAGTTGGGTGTCTTCCCTGCTGCCTTTAAAACGGCGGTGGTGAGGCCCCTTCTGAAGAAGAGCAATTTGGATTGTAATGATTTTAATAACTACAGACCTGTATCCAACTTACTATTTTTAAGTAAAATCTTAGAAAAACTTGTTTTTACTCAGATTAATGATTTTCTAAATGATAGACAGATCCTGGAAATATTCCAGTCTGGATTTAGGGTGAACCACAGCACAGAGACTGCTCTCCTAAAGGTTTTAAATGATCTTAGATGTAACTGGGACTCCCAAAAGCTCTCAGTCCTGGTGCTACTGGATCTAAGCGCAGCCTTTGATACAGTAGACCACGCTATTCTTTTAAACAGACTGAAACACATGGTAGGCCTCTTGGTGCTGTACACAACTGGTTCACTTCCTATCTCTCTGACAGAACTTTTATGGTGAGTATGGATACATGCTCCTCTAAGATCCATAAAATGACATGTGGTGTGCCTCAAGGGTCGGTTTTAGGCCCTGTACTTTTTAATTTGTATATGCTCCCTCTCGGCGGTGTCATCAGGAGGCATGGAGTGAACTTCCACAGTTACGCTGATGACACGCAGCTGTACATCTCTGTGTCTCCCGATGACACCAGACCAATGGATGCCCTTTTTAACTGTATTTTAGATATAAGATCTTGGATGGCAGAAAACTTTTTACAGCTTAACCAGGACAAAACTGAAGTTTTAATCGTCGGTCCTGAGGCTCAGAGAGAGAAACTCTTGTCTAAATTAGAGGCATTTTCACTATGCACACTGCATGTGGTTTTAAAAGCAACATGTCTGTTCACCACAACAATGGAGATGTGTAATATTAGTGCAGCTACGGTTTGTTCTTGAACACCAGTTTTGTTTTCTACTTTGATCACTTAGACCAAAAAAGTGTTGTTTTCAGATTCTTTCTTTTAAATCTATAAAGCACCTGCTCATTTTTTTATTACAATTAGTTTCACATAAATGTTAGTGTTTCCTTTATGATCTTTTAATGCTTACACTACACTGTACATGTCTACATTAGAGACATTTCTGTTACCTGTTTCTGTTGACTCAGAGTTGTGAAATGTTCTTTTATTTGATGCTCAATATGAAGTTCATAATTTTCTTACAAATAAAACTCTAATGACAAACATGAACAGCTGTGCTTATTTCTGAGACATGAGTTTTTGAGTGTGTTCATATTTAGACAGTGTGCATCTGTCTGCTGAAACTGTAATGGTGAACCTGAGGTGATGGTCAACAGAAGGCAAATATATATCAGTATAAAACAATATTGAAGTAATGTCTTTACCCCCTGCAGCGTGTGGACGCAATCACCTTATTTACTGTAGTAAACATGCACCGCTAGCTCACGTGACTGACTGTCTCCATGGTTACATCGTATATTATTAGCTATGTAAACAGCTTCCAAAGATACCGCCATAGCTCTCTGCAGCTGTAACACTGTCACACTTTGCAAATCATTTTACGTTTTTGATAGTTATGAAGACAGAATGTGTTTTTAAGGTCATGCTAGGCGGTTGCTATGGTGGTTGCTGTGGACTTGGGTGGACTTGGGTGGACCGCGTCCGATTCCTGTTATTAGCTGTCCGCCGTAGGAAGGCTGCGTTCCATTTACAAGTAGTGACAGTCTGCCGCAACTCGAACTCAAACCCCGCTTTCTTTAATTATAGGCCTTTTATAGCCGTTCATGACACGCACATACACACATAAAGCACTTTGCCTCACCATGAGAATGCAAGTTTACCTAACCTAACCTTAAAGTATCTGATATAGGATAGAAAAATGAAGCAACCAGAGATTTAATGATGAAGACTCTGGGTTCTGTAGTTCACGTTTTACAGTCCTGAATGACTCTTTGCATATGATTTATTGAAGAGGACTTTAGAATGCACTTTACATTTAGACTGTTGCTGTTTCATTTTTTACATTGTTGCCGTGTTATGTCATGAATAAGGTTCACCTGCTGGGGGTTTGATGGATCAGCTGGACAATACAGTCAAAGACAGACTTCATTCATCATATGCAAGAATCCTAGTTGGATTTTTGTTGTCACTCGTGTTTTTGAACCAAATATTGAAAACAATTCTGACAGACTGGATACCTCGTCAGGGTGTACGTTACCTTGTACTCAAGCATCCCAGGACAGAGCCCTGCCCCACCATGAGCCTGGGTGGATCCGTGGTTATAATATAAAAGGACCAATACTGAATATGAATATTTCATGAAAATTGAATTATAATACAAATTAGTAATAAGGGTTTCTCTGCGCCCTTATCTACCCCATACTCAAAGAGCTGCGGGCAGAGAGGGTGACAGGAGTGGATGGCACTGAAGAGAAGATGCTCGGTTTCTGGAGTCTCCTGGTCCTGTCAGTATTAGTAGGATGCATCTGCTGTGTCTTCTCGTGGATGCTCACCTACCTTGACTCGTTCCAGCCTGGTATGGATTTCCCAACACTGCGGACAGTGGCCCACGTCAGAGACGTTTAATATTGATTACATATGTCTGAATTGCTAACCCTAACCCTAACCCTAGCTCAACAGACCACAATGCCCTGGACTGTCAGTATTATTACATGCTGTGAACATAAGTACCTTTGATCACAGTTTAAAAGAGAAGGAATATTGGAAAAAAGATCAACATTGTGATATTATTTCTTCCAAACTGACCAGAAACATGCTTGTCAGACTCTCACAGCAAAGGATCAGACTCACTGTGCATGACAGCTCAGGCCAATGATGTCTGTTAGATTGTCAGTTGTTTAGTGCTTCTGTACAGTGAGGGTCACGTCTCTATTTCAGAATAATTAATATGCCGAAAACACAAAGTTGATTGTCTTCCAATATTCTAGCATAATTAAAAAACTTTGACTTTGTAAGTACATATTATTAGTCCTAATGCCAGTATGATTCTTCATAACTCCTGCTTTGAAATACTGAACTTTAAAATTTACCTGATGAAAGATAATTCACAGTGGCACTCTGTCAGGATCATTCTGACTGTAAGATCACTGTATTAATCTGAATCCTTCTGAAATGTGCTGTGAATGAATGCTGATGCAACTCACTGTGGGAGAGCTGTTAATAAAATGAATCTGTGACACATGCAACACATTCACAGAGGAAGAGGACACAAAGGGAGGACACGCAGAGGCTGTGTTGAAGTCAGAAATCCAAATCTTTATTAAAAAACAGGCGGCGGTTACAAACAGGAAGACAAGCAGTCCATCAAACAGTCTACAGGGTCAAACATACAGAGAATTCAAACAGCAGTAAAAAATAACTGGACACTGAAAAACTTAAAGCAATGTGTGACGCAATAAAAGGAAGCAGCGCAGTATATTCACTGAATTATCATCAATTACAAAAGAGAAAAACGACGATTTTTAAGGATTATTTTCTTAAATGCAGTTAGAGTGTGTCTGGTAAAGATGGAAACATACAGAATGTAAACTGTGTGAGCTTGTGAACTTTGTTAGTAACAAATGAGGTAAAAAAACACACAACCAAAACAGACAAAACACAGAAAGAGGCTCTCACTATTCGTTCATAATTAGAAAGAAACATTCTGGTCGTGGATTTTTACAGTCTTAGTTCCGCTCGCTGTCATCATTATAATCATCATGATCAATGGCGAGGTCCTGAGGTGGGCGGGGCTGTCTCTGGTGATGTCACCATGAAGGAACAGCATCTGGCACGTGTTGGTGAAACATCTCAGTACGCTGGTGTAGTTTCCTCTCCAGCTGTTTGACATGTGACACTTGAACATTAAGGGGAAGAAGAAGAAACAGTGTTAGGTCAGGTGACCACATGGTTTCTAAAGTAACTGACAGGAAGTAACCAGGCCGTTAGAAATGGATGGCATGTGTTTGGAGTTACTGGAGTTGGGTAACTCTACTTACCAAAAGCAGAAGCACACAGATGAAGGATCAGATGCTGAATGTTGCAGGAACATGCTCATGTGTGGTGGTCATTCAGTGCTGCAGGTTAGACAGTCCAAGACTGATATGCTGCCCATCTGAGAGTTTGAAAACACACATGCAAAGATTTATTTTGTGTTACAGTCAAAGTTGGATGTTCATTTTTGTCCTTTAAAAATGTTTGTGTATTTGAAAGCACTAACATCTAAGGATAACTTGGATCGTCCCCTTTAAAGGGGAGACAAGTGTGTCCACGGATCCACGTCACTTTACCTGGATGATGACTCCTCCCCCCTCACTCAGAAACACTCCTAATATAACCAAGCAAATAAATAATATTGAAGATTTACTTACATCATTACAAAAACATCAAAAACATCTCCTTTGATTCTATTTCTCCATTCCTGCTGAACATCAGGCAACAAATATCTCAATATATCACAGTAAAATGTAAAGCACATGTTTTCTCTGCTTTGTCTGACCTCTGCAGAGCCTCTGTCAAGAAAAACATATCTGTAAGCATAAAACAAATATACATTCATAACACGTCACTGGACAAACCTCGGTCAGCTGATTTCCTCTGTGCAGTGCAGACGAACATCAGTCAGCAAGTCAAGGTGGTGAGATGGACTGGTGTCCTTTGTGACTCTGCTGGTTCTTCTGAGGAAACACCACCATCTCTCCACACCGTCACCATCTGTGAGCACAAACTGCCGCTCTGCCAGCATGTAGGACATCACATATCACACACAGGGGTGAAGAAACATCAGAGCTCAACTTTGGATACTTTAGATCTAAACAGATCAAAGTAGCTCTTAGTTTCAACAATCAGTGAGCAGACAAACAATGATACCATACTGTTTCTGTATGAATACAATATGGTATTTTCAATACAGGTGTCAAATTAATTCATTAAAACTAATACAGATATACGTATATATATTTTTTTTGATAAATTCGTTTGCTAAATTATAAGAATATATATTTATTTTTCATTTAACTATTGCAACTGAAAGAAATTAAATATTGAACAAAAATATATTGTCACATTCTGAGCATGCTCAGCACGCTGACAGACTTGAAGTTGCTACAGATTTTAAGAAGTGATAATTATAGGGAAGAAACTTCTCTTTTTCATCTGTTTAATCAAACATTTGATGCCTCAGCTGTCTCAGTCTATAGCGTTCTGCAACTACAACTAACCTGAGGCTTGGATTTGGCTGCAGGTGCCCCTGTACATCCTTCTCAGCAGCACACATGTGGGTACCATTTAATCACACTTCTTCCTGAGCTTTGCTTCATCACAAGACCAAAGGTGGCATCCCGTGTCAGTCTTATCATCATCCAGAAGAAACATTTGAAGAAACATCATGGAGAAGAAACATTTACGCGCCTCCTGGTTTTGTTTTCTGATCCTGCGAAAAGACCGAGGACAACAAAGCCCAGAGAACACGAGATACACAACATCCAACATTCAGACTCAACAGCCTCCATAAATGAAGAGCACCAGGTTGGTTCAGTTATAGTAGATATAAGCATACTTCACATTACTGGGTATGAATAATAATGAGGAGGCAAACTTTGAAGATGCAGAGCATGATGTCCCATCATCAGACTGTAAACAAACATCCACCAGGCTTCTTTGTTGCCAAAATTGATGATTCTCCCATCAGGGATCAGTAGCGTGTATTAACCTGTGGTATAAGCAGCAGTCACTGAAATATTACTGTTTCAGATAAGAAATCCAGCACATAAAAGCCAGGGTAGGAGGGATCTCTGCAAACTGACTTACCTCTGCAAGTGTGAAGCTCAACAAAAATCTGACTCTCCAGTCACAGACAAACAAAAACCTCCAGCTGGGAGATAGAAAACGCTGTCTGGGTCTGGATGTTGCTGGTCAGAGTCCACACATTAGCAGAGTGCTTCTTGGTCCCACTGACCCATATGGACAGCGACTGTGGAGAACTGTTCTGGAAAACAGAAAAGAGAATTAAAATAACAAAAAGCCAAACACGATTTCCACAAAGACTATCTTGGAATCAGCAATCAAAAAAAAAACACTGGTTCATATTTCAATTAAATATGAACAGGTTCCTCAAATGTACGCAGTTCAGACCTGATTTAATTTAATTTCCTTCACACAGCACATTCGTCCAGGCTGACAGGTAAACATAGAATTAATCTCAGGTAACATGACTCATAGTAGAGATTCAGTAAGAAAGATTGCAGGCTCTAATATTATTACCACACAATCCAAGGACACACCAACAGCTCAGATTTGTAGAACTATTTAAACAAATGTCTTCTGAATATTCAATTCAGGTTCACAGTGGGAGGGGGGGGGTTTCGTGGAATTTTTTAAATAAAGTCTGCAACACAGAAAGAGCTGTGATCAAGCTATTTATTACTGCGCCGACACACATCAAACATCACAGTTCAGTCATGTCAGCGCTGCCACAGAGGTCTTGCTCCTCCTCCTTTATGCATTCCAAGGAAGAGGATGTTAAACTGATCACACCACACTTCACGTGTCTCGCTATGAAACCTAACGGATCAATGGTTAAGCTGTTTTGTGCCCTTGGCCTTATCAGCACCTGTAAAGGGAGTTGTTTTCTCAAACTGCTGACGCTGAAGTAAGTTCATCTAGTTTTAGAAACTTTCACTGAACAGTAACAGTGTCACAACTAAGCACATGCATAAGCACTTAAATACTTTAAATGAGAATAACAGAACATTTCTATTACAGAGGCTAGAGCATGTCCCAGTAGTCATAGGTAGAGCACACCTGGACAGGTCACCAGTCTGTCAGAGGACTAACACAGAGACAGACATCAGAGTAACAAATCTATTTAAAATTAATGTAAGTTTGCTGCAGCTGTATGTATGTATGAACATGTGTTTCTGTGCTCACAGTCCACCTCTCAGGAACCTGCAGTTTACTTTTAGTCTACTTTAAACAGACAAAAGGCTGATGTGGCTGGATCAGTAGTCTGATTTAAGTACGATACCTTTGGCCAGGGATTCATCTGGTGCATCGCTTCACTGCAGTCTTACGTATTTTCCCCACACCTGAATAAAAAATACTGATATATACAAATAACAGCTTCAGCTGATGCAGCCTGACCCAATCCTAGATGTTCAGCACACAGAGACACAGAAGTACTGTTTAAAGTTTAGTGTTAACCTGAGTCACTGATCATTTGCAGTATTACAGAGTCTGGCAGTCTTTGCATGATGTCCACGTCACTGTAAGTTTCTAGCTGACTCTCAGGTGTGACAGGTGTGCCAGCAGTAAAGAGTAATAATAGCCTGCATCCTGAGGTTTGTCATGCAGGATTAAAGGAGCCAGGCTTTGTTCACACAGCTAGGATTGTATTTTACACTGACCCTGGGTCAGTATAAGTATCATACAGTTTAAACGAAGCACTGAAACTTGCACATATTTATTACAGATGCACTGAAGCTAATCGAGATTTTTGCTGTCAGTCTGTGGCTGCGATTAAACACTTTACTGGAAACTTTATTAACTAGTAACTTCATCAGTCATGACAGAAGCTAATATTTCTGTGCTAACATCGTTTAACCAGTAACAGCTTTACTAAGCTAACGTTTACACCGTAACTTTAAGCTAGCACCATAAAGACGGTAAAACACGTAATAATATCTACAAATGCATCTTAAAGCTGTTATATTAGCACTCGGTGTATTACTAACATAACAACATTAACATTATTGACACTCGCTGACTTTTAATAGTCATTCTATAAATGCTGTCCGTTTAAACGGTCTTACCTGTAAACACTGCTGTATCCACCGGATTGCAGCCAGAGTGGATTCTGGAGTCTTCCACGCTCCTGTTAGTGATCCTCCATCTGGATGGATGAGAACAACCTTCTGAACAATCTAGCAGGAGATGGCCCATATCTATGGGACTGGTTTGTGCTAATGACGCCCATTGTATGGACTGATAACAGCCGAAGCGGGTGAATAAAGTCACCCAGTAGCTAGCTGTGCCATTACCCAGCATACATCACTCCCTCCGTAAATGCAATAAACCATACATAAGTATTGTTCTACCTGTTTTTCAGGTAGTTGTTTACATTATATAATTTATTGTGTTCTGTATACGTCACTACAATGTGATTTGGAAAATGTCTAAATATACCGACAAAAGGCACTTCCGCGGCAATCTCTTCAATCGGAGGACCCTTCACGTCAATTCCCGACGCGAGAGGGGTACCCTGCGCGTCCATAAGTGAAGCAGAGGGAGCCTGACCATGCGTCACACGTTTGACGAGTTGGGAACGTGTTGACAGAACACAGTGTGCTTTGAGGTAGGAGCCAAAAAGGGTGTAGTTTGTGGGTGTGATCACCCGTGTGTACACCTGTGAGCATGGACGCGCTTGTTTTTTGTTTTTTAAAAGGTTCCTTCATGTAATGATCTGCTAGAGGGTGTGGGGGGGGGGCCACAGCCCCGTCCTCCAGGGCATGAAGCAGGTATGGAGGAGATCAAAACTCCAGACATCCAGAGGCCCCCAGAACACAAGACACCAAGGAAGACCAACAGAGGGGCAGCCGCGCCACTGTCCCAGAAAGAGCTGAGGAGAGTCCCAGATGAGGGCTCACTCAGCAGCCGCGGAGCAGAAGCCAGGGGGAGTTGCAGTGACGCGCCCGTGAGCTCCGCCGGCAGCCAGCCGTGCCTGAGTGACCGAGCCCCAGGCCGAGAGGCCGGGGGCACCCCACCTCCGAAGTGGCCCGAGCGAGCCCCAGGCTCCAGGCCCCGATAAGCGGCAGCCAAGGAGTGAGCCGGTGTGTACCTGGACGCCCATCCCCGGACACAAAGAACCACCAACGCACCGACGTCTGAGGGAGTCCGCCACTGGCAGGGGAAGTGGTGGTAGGGGGAGATAGGCCTCCATACCTTGGAGGGCCTAAGATGTCCCCAGAGAGGTGGCGCCTGACACCCAACCTGACATATAGACACAGAAATACAGGCACACACATATACAAACATCCATTCCCACCCTCATGCTCTCATATGCACTTACTCCACACTCAACCAACGTGGAGACAGACATAAAGAGACGCTGTACACACGATCACACTCCTCAAGCGTACTCTAAGCCCCGGGTCTAGGTACCCTTGCCCCTGGAGGGGGGGAACTGCACCCAGACCCAGGTGGTGTTACCCTTTTCCCTGCGGTGGGGGGAGGCAGACCGTCCCGACTCCGCAGCAGCAGGGAGGCCCCACACTCCAGACCGCAGTCGGACGGCCAACTCCTCCTCCTAGCCCCCCCGCTCCAGCAGGTCGCAGAGAATGGGGGTGAGAGAAGACTCCAAACCTCCCTCCACCCGCTCATTGTAATGTTGATGCATGTGTGTTCTAAGGTGCATTTAAAACCCAGGAGGGCATGGAGCTACCTGCCAGAGAGCAGCAGGTAAGCGCATGGTCCCTCCTGCTGGCCCTCAATGTCTACGTGTATTTAACATTGAGAGGTGGGCAACGACGCCAGGGGTGGGGTGTACACCCTGATGGTACTTTGGATTCCGTGTATCGTGCCCACCCCCAAGATCCTATGTGTATGTGTAATGAGAGTGTGAGTAATGTGAATGTCTAAGTTGTGGGATAAAATTGAGGCAGGGGCAGCCAGAAGGGGACAGGGGGGGGGGTGGCCTCCTCTGCACCCTGGTGACATACCCCTACTCCAAGGTCCTGCATGTGTGGGTGGTTGTGATGGAGCGGGAAGAGGGAGGCAGCTGGAGACGGGGAGGGAGAAACTGCTCTTTCAACGATCTTACTTAAAAATGGGAGATTTGAAATCGGATTTTGAGATAGTTGTTCATTTGTGTCTTGTCAAGATTGTCCTTTTTCAGTGTAAGTGTACTTACAGCAGTTTTTAGTGGTTCTGGAAACAAACCTGACATTAAAGAACAGTTGACGATCTGTAACAGGTCTTTGAGACCTTTTGCTGTTAATAGGGTGAAACTGTTTCATGGTGTTTAAGCAGTTTTTCAGTGGACACAGTACATATCCTGAATATGCCGTTGATGTACCAATTGCTTGTCTAATCTTTTAGATTCTGACAGTGAAGAATTTGGCAAAGTCATTGCAGGGCATGGTCGAATGAAACTCTCCTCTGCCACTGACACAGGAGGGTTTGTTAGCCTGTCAACTGTAGCCTTCACCTTAATGGGAGCAATAGTGTCCACAACATTTAATATTTTAGCATTGAAGCTATTGACGAGCTCATTGACCGAAAGTCTCGACAGGCCAGGTGTTAATGGGAAGACCTGGTTAAAGATCTCACTACTGTTTTCAGTTAAACACTATTTTGTGATCACTGCTGTTGACATATTTGTGTGGGCTGAAATTGTACTTTCAAAGAAAACACAGTAATGATCAGATGGGCCCACATCAGACACAGTAACCTTTGAGATTGTATAGGAATTTCTTTTACTTATGTATTAATCACATTATTTTATTGTATGATGCCTTGGTGCCACTGGATTTTAACACGTCTTACACTCATACAGTAAGACAAATGGTGGGGGTCTAGTAAGGAAGTTGGGGGAAGCAGACAACTCCACAGGAAGAATCTTTTGTCTCTTTGAGGACTTTGGGAGGTAGCAAGGGAGTGTGAACCTTAAGGTGTGAAACAGCTGTGTACTGCCTTTTGTTCCTGAAGAAGGTATTTAACTGAGAG